TTTATATCTCTCTCTCCCCTCCCCCCCCCCCCCGTGTGTGTGTGTGTGTGTGTGTGTGTGTGTGTGTGTGTGTGTGTGTGTGAAGTTGGCTGTCAAGTCGCTTCCAGTTTATGGTTACCCAAAAAAAGATTTGTCTCATAATTGGGTCTTCGAGGCAAGAGATGATCTCAGAAGTGGTTTCCCATGGCCTCCTCCTCCTGCGCAGTACTAATTAGGGTTAGCTGAAGTGGCACCGCTGTATTTTACGAAAGACCCTCCGCCAGGGTCGCCTTCCGCCACTGCCACTGCCCGGGAGCTTCCCGTTGAGGACCCCTCCGCCCCCCTCCCCACTGGGACGGCCTGTCCTGTCCTGCGGATGTGGCCGTTGATCCCTGAAAGGGGCGGATGAACCTTTGGCCGGTGCCTCAGCTGTGAGGGCTCTGCCTTGAGTGACTCCGCTGGGCGTCTGGCCCCTTGACAGGGTCTAAACCCCTCGTGGTATTGCTCTCGGCTTCGCTGACACACACAACCCCCCTCACCATGTTAAGGCGTGCTTCCCCCCAGTCATCTCCTCCCTAAACTGAAAAGTCCCAGGGACTCTTCGGCCTCTCCTCCTAGGGAAGGGGCCTCCAACCCCCTCATCCTCTCCGTTTCCCTCCTCCCTTCTTTTTCCAGCCCTGACCCGGTGTCAGAACCCACAGCTCACAACGGAGCACCTGCATTCAGGAACGGTTATACTTTTATTGCAAAGCTATAGATGCAGTAACACAGGCACTGTTAAGAATGGCCACAGCCACTAGAGCATAATAGGATTATAGGGTATTCGTATGCACCCCCCCCCAATGGCATTGGCCACTTAGGCACCCTCCCGTGCGCGGGATAAGTCAGGCAACCGTTAGGTGGCTAAAGCTGAGAACCAGGAGTCTCTCACGGTACATAGGAGCCCTCCAGACAACACAACCTCCTCCTGCACATCTGTAGAGATAAGCATTTCAGCAAAAGGCAGAGCAGCAGGGATAGGAATGCAATAGCAATTAACAAGACACGGAATGAACTCCCCAACCCCCGTGGCAGCCTAGCTGACACTCTGCCATGTCAGAAAGGTGAGAATATGAGGAGACCAAACACCCTACACTCAGTCACCAATACAAAAGTCAGCCAGGGACTCTCTCCTTCCTGCCAGGTTTGCAGAAATCTCAATGGGTGGAGGAAGCGGAAGTGCACCTTATACGGAATCCTCTACCTGGAGCTGTGGGAACAGAGGCTTGTGGCTGAGTTAATCCCATGGAGGGATGATGTTGTCCCAGTTTATGGGCAACCCACAGCCCATGCTGGGAACTCGTCGGCTGTCGAGCCTCCTGGTTTTTCTGTCCCGTCCCCCCACCTTCTGCAACTCTTGTCCTTTTAAGGTCTACCCAGCAACTCAGAAATAACTTTTATTTGGTCACCTGCAAAATGATATGGGATCGGGAGAACCAGAAACAACAAATACACCAGACTTTTAGCTCTGGATCTTCCGCAGAGAGCGGCCCACACAACTCCCCCCCTCCCCAGTTTAGAGCCTGTTTGGTGTAGTGGTTGAGTGCGCGGACTCTAATCTGGGAGGACCGGGTTTGATCCCCCACTCCTCCACTTGCACCTGGCTGGATAACCTTGGGCAAGCCGCAGTTCTGATAAGAGCTGTTCTTGAAAAAAGAGCAGTTTCTGTCAGAGCTCTCTCAGCCCCACCTACCTCCCATGGTTTCTGTTGTGGGGAGAGGAAGGGGAAGGAGTTTGTAAGCCACTCTGAGACTCCTTTGGGTAGTGAAGGGCCGGGTATAAATCCAATCTCCTCCTCCTCTTCCTCTTCTTCAGCAAACACTGGCTCCCTGGGGCCATTTCAGGTCCAAAAACTGCTGCAGGGGGAAGTCTTAAACCCATCTCCCCTCTCGTGCCACACTCCCAATCCAGTTCAGAGCCCCGGGCTCCTGAAAATTACGTTAAACAACCAACCAACCAGAACTCACAGAGTATGTTGGGTTTGGCCTGAAATGTCCAAAAGCAGTGGAGAAGCACCCTGTGCAAGTGTGCATGAGCAGGGAGTCGGCTGCTCCGCTGCAAGCTACATGGAAATGTTTTCAATCAGCAGCGATCCTCTAATCAGTGCTGTACTCTGGGTTCCCGCTCAATGGAACGGACTGCGGCTCGTGGGCCGTTTGCACAACAGCCTACAAGAGCACATAGCAAGTCACATCATTCCGTTTTTCATCACCAGTATGACAACAGGCAGCCATCAGCTTCAAATCGTTTATTTGTAAGAGATGTATTTTCTAAAACAAATAATATCACACAAATAAAACACATGTGTATGCACGGCTGTAAGCTGCATCTACAGGTGGATATTAACACTACAGTCCCTGGGAAATTACATTGGCTATTTTGAATACCAACAGTAAAATAAAGACCACGAGAATAAAGTAGTGGCCAATCAGAGAATGGGATTTCAGAGAACTGAGCACCACGGATGCTTCAGGGGCTGCCTCAGTCAACTGGAAACTGGAACTTCACATCCACCGGCGCTTCCTTGGCTAGGATCATGATTTCAGAGAGTTTGATGACCATTTTGGCGGCTTCATCTAAGTCATCGCAGGCGAGGATCTTCAGCTTGCTCTCTGCGATTAAAGTTTTGGCGTCGTCACCTCGGGTGCCTTGGAGACGGGCAACGATTGGTATTTTCAAGTCCAGATCTTTGGCTGCCATAATGATCCCCTGGGCGATAACGTCGCATCGCATCAGGCCTCCGAAGATATTGACCAGGATGGCTTGCACCTTGTCCTCGGAAGTGATTATCTTGAAGGCCTCCGTGACCTGCTGCACCGTAGCGCTGCCGCCCACGTTCAGAAAGTTGGCCGGCGTGCCTCCGTGGAATTTTATGATGTCCATGGTGGCCATCGCCAGGCCAGCCCCGTTCACCAGGCAGCCGATGCTCCCCTCCATGCCTACGTAATTGAGATCTGCCTTGACTGCATTCCTGTCTCTTATGTCCTCCTGGGTCCAGTCCTGAAGCTTGAAGATTTCTTTCTGGCGGAAAGCGGAATTGCTATCGAACGTCACCTTTGCATCCATGCATATCACCGACCCCGCTGAATCTTCGGCCAGGGGGTTGATTTCTACTAGGATGGCATCATACTTAATGAAGAAGTTGTAGATCTTAATCATGCTATCCGCCACTTCACGAGCCAAGCCGGTGGGGAACCCCATCTTCTCCGCAAGCCGAAGGGCTTGTTCCCTTTTCAGGCCTTCCATGATGTTCACCGGCTCTTTGATGATGGCCTCGGGATCCTTTGCGGCCACCTCCTCGATGCTGACCCCCCCCTGAGAACTGCCGATGAGGACCGGCCCCTGGAAGGCCCTCTCCATGGCGATGGCAAAGTAGCACTCCCTCCGGGGATAGATGCGCTCGCAGACCCAGACCTCGTTGCAGATCCGGCCCTTCTCTCCCGTCTGCCGGGTGAAGAGCTTCTTCCCAATCATGTGGGAGGAGACGTCCTTGGCTTCTTCCGGGGAAAAGACCACTTTCACCCCGCCTTTGAAGCCACCTTCAAAGACTCCCTTTCTCCGGCCGCCAGCTAAGATCTGGGCCTTGACAACAAGGTCCTGCGTGCCGATTTTTTTGGCCACTTTGTAAGCTTCTTCCGGTGTCTTGGCCACCTGCCCCTCCGGCACACGGAGCCCCGCTTCCTTCAGGAGCCTCATGCTCAAGTATTCGTGCAGGGACAAGTGCCTCCGCGGCTGATGCTGCACAGGAAACCTGGGGCGAGGAAGCAGCCCCGGACCCCCACCGAGCACCAAGGCCCTCCCCCTCAGTCTCGCCACGGCCCGGCTGCAGAGCATGGTGACCCCTGGCCTGTGCCCCTCTCCGGCGCTTCCTCTTCCTGCTCTGCTGCAAAAGGCCTCTCAACTGCCCTTTTGTATGGAAGGCCACCAAAGTTCCTTCTGCAACTGCTCCCGCCTGCCTCTCATTGGCCAGGGCAAAGATTCCATCCACAGCATCATTGCCTCCCTGGGCGGGGCTTTCCACTCTCCCCGCCCCTCCAATCAGAGCTAGCTCTGCTCACTAGAATGAATTCATGTGAAAGAAAGCAATCAGAAGAATATATTATTTTACTCATGAAGCCATTCCAGTTGATGGGTGCATTCTGCAAGCCCTGTTAATTTTTATGCCGCTGTCATTTATATGTTGTAGTATTTTTAGAATAACAGAGAATCTGGGTTTGCAGAGGTAATATGAAGTCCCACCCTAAAAGACACCGGGGATCCCGGAATGAAAACGTCATATACATCAGAAGGGCTCAGACGTTCTTCAGGGTCACCTTTCTTATCTTTGTCTACATGTTTTTCTTCTTAATTTAGCCTGTCTTCCAAAATGCCAGAAAGTGTGATGACACAGCCATTGAAATATATATGTACCGATTGTAAATAATATATAAACGTTTTCTGCCAAATGTAATAAGATCTACCTTTGCATGTAGAAGCATTTTATTAAATCGTTGGAAAGCGTATTGTACAGTCTAAAGCACTTTGTCACAACACAGTTTTTTTCACCATTTGTATATTCACTTTTTTTGTGTCAAAATCTTTGCCACTGGCTTTTCAAGGATATCTTTCTACCGAAATGTGCATTAATCCCAATGCCCCAAAAGCTGCAGAATCAGCATCTTTAACAGAAAAACAATTTGGTAACAAAAAAGAGGTGCGGCTTCACTGTGGAAAAGTCGCCTGTGTGGCAAGATCACTTAGACCTGCAACTTTACAGCAAATTAAGCCCTTCAATTGGTATTAAATATTAAATTAAATAAAGAGAGCCAGTCTGGTGTCGTGGTGAAGTGCGCGGACTCTAATCTGGGAGAACTGGGTTTGATTCCCCCACTCCTCCTCCACTTGCACCTGCTGGGTGACCTTGGGCAAGCCCTAGTTCTGATAAGAGCTGTCCTTGAAAGAGAGCAGTTTCTGTCAAGAGCTCTCTCAGCCCCACCTACCTCACAGGGTGTTGTGGGGAGGGGAAGGGAAAAGGAGACTGTCAGCCGCTCTGAGACTCCTTCGGGTAGTGAAGGGCGGGGGGTATAAATCCAATCTCTTCTTCTTCTTCTTTATTTAGCTCTGGAGTGGGAAACACTTGGGAGATTTGGGGGGGTGGAGGCTGCAGAGGGTGGGGTTTGGGGAGGGGAGGGACCTCAGCAGGGTACAGGGCCAGAAGAGTCCCCCCACTCCCCATCCACAGCAGCCATTTTCTCCAGAAGATCTAATGTCTGTACTTGGAGATCAGTTGTAAAAGAAGATCTCCAGGCCCCGCCTGGAGGCTGGCAACCCTAAATCAGACATGTGTTACAAAGTGAGGGTGGAGGCAGCTGTGGATATAGGTGTGTGTGTGTGTGGGGGGGAGGTAGTTGTGAATTCCCTGCATTTGTTATGAGCCTGCCAATACTACCCCTGAAGAATGCCAACTCACTGGGAACAGCAGCGGCGGCAGCAGCCGCATCCCTCTCGGCACCAGTGCAGCGTTCTGGATCAGCCACAGATCCCTCGTGTGGTCCCAGGGAGGTGGCCCACGTGCCCCCCCCCCCGGATCAGCCCGGCACATGGCGTGACCTGCCTTGGCAAGAGGGGAGAGAGGCCCGAGCCGGTCCCCCCGGAGCCCGGTGCCAGCCAGGCCCACTGCCTTTGGCCTTGGACTGCCTCACAGAGCCAGCCTCAGGGTCCCGCGGAGCCCTCTTCCGAGTCTCCCTTTCCAGGCAGGCTTTTGCTCCGTCTCTGCTGCAGCACCTGACCACACCCCTCCCTCCCCCTGGTCTATCCCCATTGCCTAATGCAAAGTGTAAACTCATTGGGGCAGGGATCTTCCTGTTTTGGAGCATATGAAGTACTGGCCATACATACGATGGCCTCGTAAGCCGCGGTTAGTAGACCTAACGACAACCCTGTGAGGCAGGCCTTCTCTGATGCACAGGAAGAGCCACGTGTTGTCCCCTGCATGCTCAGAGAGCGGCTGGCTTGGGGAGAATTGGGCTCCTCCAGCCAACCACCTTGTACGGGATCTTTCCTGCAATGAGGCACCAGGTAAGTGTTCCTAGAGAAGGCAACATCTCGTCCCTGTTCTTGAGCACCACTCCGGACCAAGGCTCCCTCTAAGCTGTGGAGTCTTGTGAGCAAAAACTCAACTTTGTGAGCTCCTGGCATTTAACATTGTGAGCGAGCCATTGGGCTACTGCATAAATGAGTTTGCTCTGGAGCCATCCGTCCTGAGCCAAGACAGAAATTTGTGAGCCGGAGGCTAAAAAATTGTGAGCTACCTCACCCTTACTCAGCTTAGAAGGAACACTGCTCAGGACTGAGTTTGGACTCTCCCTCCCTTCCGGCAGCTTCCGTGCCACAGTGCTCTCTAGGCGTCTTGGCTCACATGAGCTGAACACACATTTACCTGGATTCAGGTGTGTGGCCGTCTTGGCCTGAAGCGACAGAACAAAGTCCCGAGTCCATCAGCACCTTTAAGACCAACAAAGTTTGATTTTGGACATAAGCCTTCATGTGCCTGCACAGTCCTGCAGATCGTTGCATGCACACGAAGGCTTATCTCCAGAATTACACTCTCTTGGCCTTAATGGTGTCACTGGACTCACATTTACCTGGTTAACTGTCTGCTCTGGTTGCCTTCCCTGATTCTCCCTCCATGTTAAGATCATCCTCAGAGACCTGTTCAGGCGATACTAGTTTGTCCCTAATATTAAGCCTGACTCCCGAAAGCTCACCCCCTGGAAACCTTGCTAGCTTCTAAGCTGCTCCTGGACGCCAGTTTGGTGCAGTGGTGAAGTGCGCAGACTCTAATGTGGGAGAACCGGGTTTGATTCCCCACTCCTCCACTTGCACCTGCTGGGGTGACCTTGGGTTAGTCACAAGTTCTGACAAGAGCTGTTCTTGAAAAAGAGCAGTTTCTGTCAAGAGCTCTCTCAGCCCCACCTACCTCCCAGGGTGTCTGTTGTGGGGAGGGGAAGGGAAAGGAGTTTGTCAGCTGCTCTGAGACTCCAAGTGAAGGGCGGGGTATAAATCCAGTCTCTTCTTGTTCTTCTTTGTGTACCGCCCTCCCTGTGAGTGGTCTCAGATCAAAGCAAATAAATAAATACCGGTTATTAAATCTCTCCAACTGGCTGCCCTTGCCAGAGGAAGGAGGCTCCCGGGCCTAGTCTCTCTGCTGATGGGCCAGAGCATTTCCCCCCCGACTGCACTCCCGAGGCGGTCGGCTGCTGTGAACCAGACAGGCCCCCAGGAGCTAATTTAAAAACTGCTCCGCACACTTGTGGGATCTGGACCTCCCCTGGCCCATGTGGCTGGCCTCTCCCTAGCATCATCCGGACACACGTACACAGTTGCTTCCTGCACAGGGGATACGTGGAGGCCGTGGGTTGTGAGAGTTGGGGGTGAGGAGGACTCCTGGGCAACTGTCCTCCTTTGCAAAACAGGGTGGGGTTCCTCGGACACCCAGCCCCTTTCAGCTCTGAACGCAGCGGCAGGACAGTGTGAGGAGGGCGGCGGCCGGCCAGCTCCGAGTTGAGTGGCACCATCCCCAGGAGGGCGCATTTCACCCTTTTGTGCTGCCAGCTCCCTCCACCCAAGGGACTCGCCTTCAAAGTCCCAGTCCCCACAGAGGGAGGCTTCTCCGGGGACCACGTGCCATTGAGTCAGTCCACAGAACCGGCCAGCCACCCCCAGAAGCTCTCGAGGGTCCCAGGCAGAGCCGGGTCTTTCAGGAACCGAAGCAGAGCTTTTCAACTTGTGAAGCAGAGGCATCAGTCACCCCCTCCCACCCAATACACCCCTTAAAAAAAAACGTGAATCTGGTCTTCCCAATCTGTGAACCCCTGAAGAGGCCTGACCGGACCTATTCCAAGTTTGGCCCCGATGAGCAAAAGGAATGCTTGTTGGTGGGAGGCTCAGGCGGACGCTGGACAACCCCCTTTCGGGCATGTTGTAGGTATGTAAATTCGGAAGCTGCAGCTAGTGCAGAATGCTGCAGCCAGGCTGTTGATGGGTCTTCCTAGACGAGATCACATCCGGCCTGTGCTGAAAGCGCTGCACTGGCTGCCAATGGCATACCGGATTCGCTTCAAAGTGCTGGTTCTTACCTTTAAAGCCCTAGATGGCCAGGGACCAGCCTACCTAAGGGACCGCCTTTCCCTGCATGTTCCCCCAAGGGCACTACGGTCGGGGAATCAAGATCTCCTGGATGTTCCAGGCCCAAGGACCACCAAATTGGCGATGACCAGGGCTAGGGCGTTTTCGGTGGCGGCTCCTATCTGGTGGAATGAGCTCCCAGGGGAGATCCAGGCTCTGCGGGACCTAATGCAGTTCCGCAGGGCCTGTAAGACGGAGCTCTTCCACCAGGCTTTCGAATAGGAGCCGCCACCATCATTGTTTTACCATCATCGTTCCATCAACGCCCTATGATTCCCGCATACTGCTACCGCTGGTGTGGGCACTATTGGAGAGAATGGGACGTGTTTAGGGGATGGCAGGGCAGTATGATCTATACTGCTGTGGTTGTCTAGCTATGTTACTGAGAACACCATCTGGAACTGTATAGAGGAGCACCAGAAATGTTTTATGATGTCTATTTATGGGTTTATTAATTGTCTATTGTAATTTAATGTTTTATATTGTTTTATTGTTATTACTTGGCATTGTGCCGTTAGCCGCCCTGAGCCTTCGGGGAGTGTGGGATAGAAATCTAAATAAATAAATATGTAGGGCTATTATCTTTCGGCGATGCTCCTGCAGAGTGCAGAGGGTTGGACTAGATGACCTGCAAGGTCCCTTCCGACTCTCACATTCTATGATTCTAAAAGCTGAGCTCTACAAACGCCACCAAAAGCAACCGAGGAATGAGGCTGGGGGTCAGGCTCAGGGGAAGAGTCGTAGGGCTGCAGCAAAGCCAGGACCAAGCTCAAGGCCCGAGCAAAGGGACGCAGGCGGGCCCTTGCTTGAGAGGGACGAGGGGAAAGCAACTGTCACCCTCCCCCTCTCCCCCCGGGAAGCAGCATCAGGCCATACAGAAAAAGTGCAACGGGGCAGGGTGGGGGTCTGGCTCTCTCCCAGCCCGGAGTGGCCCCTGTGGGTTTTTACACCAGACCTTGAAAAGGAGCTGCGGTGGCTCAAGGGGTTAAGACGCTGAACTGCAGGCTGTGGAAGGTCGGTCGTTCAGCCGTTTGAGACCCGAGTGTGCCGCATGACAGAGTGAGCTCCCATCTCTAGTTCCAGCTTCTGCCAACCTAGCAGTTCGAAAGCAAGAAATTGCAAGTAGATAAATAGGGACCGCTTCAGTGGGAAGGTAACAGCGTTCTGTGCGCCTTGGTGTTTAGTCATGCCAGCCACATGACCACGGAAACGTCTTTGGACAGCGTTGGCTCTTCGGCTTTGAAATGGAGATGAGCACCACAACCCTAGAGTCAGATTCGACTGGCTTTCGAGCAAGGGAAACCTTTACCTTTATTTTGAAACGGGGAGGTTTTGAATTAGATCCAGTGTGACTACTAGGCTTTTATGAATGAATTTATAAAACAGTCATAGAAACAGAGCAAGAAGGGACCCCAGAGGTCCAGTCCAAACCCTCCCCACCCCACAACACGGGAAATTCACAACTACACCCACACTCCCCCAAGGACCCCACCTCTATGCACAGAGGAAAGCGAAAAAGCCTCCAGGATCCCTGGCCTGGAGGAAAATGCCGTCCTGACCCCAAAGTGGCGATCGGCATTAACCCTGAGCAGGCAAGAAAGGGCCACAACTCCCTCCCTGCCCTCCCTCTCGTGATCTGCCTAAATTCATAGTGAGCCACAGATTCCGCATTGCTGTCAGATGGCCATCTAGCCTCTGTTTGGAAACCTCCCAAGGAGAGCCCACCACCACCTCCCGAGGAAGCCTGTTCCACTGAGGAACCACTCTCACTGTCAGGAAGTTCCTCCTAACATTTAGCCGAAAACTCTTCTGATTTAATTTCAGCCCGTTGGTCCTGGTCCGACCGTCTGGGGCAACAGAAAACAACTCCGTGCAATCCTCTATAGGACAGCCCTTCAAATACTTGAAGATGGTGATTGGATCGCCTCTCAGTTGTCTCCTCTCCAGGATAAACAGACCCAGCTCCTTCAACCTTTCCTCATAGGACTTGGTCTCCAGACCCCTCGCCCTCTTCGTTGCTTTCCTCTGGATGCGTTCCAGCTTATCAACATGCTTCTTGAACTGCGCTGCCCAAAACTGAACATAGTATTCCAAGTGAAGTCTAACCAGAGCAGTGATACCTCGAGTGATCTGGATACTATACTTCTGTTGATGCAGCCCAAAATCGGATTTGCGTTTTTAAGTACCGCATCACGCTGTCGACTCATATTCACTGTATGGCCTATTAAGATCCCTAGATCCTTTTTGCGTGTACTACTGTCAAGCCTTCCCCATCCTATAATTACGCATTCAACTTTTCCTACATAAATGCAGAACTTTACATTTATCTCTCTTCAAATCCATTTTGTTAGTTTCAGCCATTTTCCAGCCTGTCAAGATCATCCTGAATCCTGATTCTGTCTTCTACTATATTTGTTGCCCCTCCCAGTTTAGTATCCTCAGCAAATTTAATGAGCGTCCCCCTCATGTCCCTTCCTCTCCACGACTCCCAACTCCCGTAATCCTTGCTTCCAGCCTGTTCACTGTTCCCGCGCCTCGTAAAGAGGCTCCTCGAATGATGTGCTGGCGGAATGCACAGGGCGCCCCCTGCCCCACTGCGAGGCAATTACACCCACTCCATTCCTTTCATCCCAACTGCTCTCTCTTACGGGTTGAGGCTGGCCCAGGGGGGCAAATTAGGACCCAGATTTACGTGGAATATCCTGTGAAGAGAAATGGGAATGCACAACAGCTGACAAAGCAACACAGAGAGAGACAGTCTCAGCCCCTGAATGTGACTTCGGCAGCGGCCGCTGGCAAACCAGTCTGGGCTTTGCTGTTTTCCCCTCCCCAGAATTCCCTCATACAATCGTAGAGTTTGAAGAGACCTCCAGGGTCATCTAGTCCAACCCCCTGTACAAGGCAGGAAATCCACAAATACTTCCCCCCCCCACACACCCCAGTGACCGCTGTTCCATGCCCAGAAGAGGGCAGGAAAAAAAAAACCCCTCCAGGATCCTTGGCCAAATTGGCCTGAAGAACGATTGCTTCCTGACCCCAACGTGGTGATCAGCATTAACCCTGAGCATGTAAGAAAGGGCCACAAGAACTAAGCACTGAGGCAACCCTTCCTGCCTGCATTGCTGTGCGATGGCCATCTAGCCTCTGCTTGAAAACCTCCAAAGGAGGAGAGCCCACAACCTCCCGAAGAAGCCTGTTCCAATGAGGAACTGCTCTGTCAGGAAGTTCTTCCTAATGTTTAGCCGGAAACTCTTCTGATTTAATTTCAATCCGTTGGTTCTGATCTGACCTTCTAGGGCAACAGAAAACAACTCCACACCACCCTCTATAGGACAGCCCTTCAAGTACTTGAAGATGGTTATCCTATCACCTTTCAGTTGTCTCCTCTCCAGGCTAAACATACCCACCTCCTTCAACCTTTCCTCTAAGGACTTGGTCTCCAGACCCCTCACCATCTTCGTAGCCCTCCTCTGGACATGTTCCAGATTGTCAATATCCTTCTTAGACTGTGGTGCCCAAAACTGAACATGATACTCTAGGTGAGGTCTAACCAGAGCAGAGTAAAGTAACGCCATCACTTTGCGTGATCTGGACACTATACTTCTTTTGATACAGTCCCAAATCGCATTTGCCTTTTTAGCTACCGCATGACACTGCTGACTCATGTTCAGTATATGGACTACTAAGACCCCTGGATCCTTTTTGCACATACTTCTGCCAATACATCCTATAATGATGTATTTGATTTTTCCTACCTAAATTCAGAACTTTACATTTATCCCTGTTGAAATTCATTTTATTTGTTTTAGCCCAGTTTTACAGCCTGTCAAGATCTTCCCGTATCCTGATTCTGTCTTCTACCGTATTTGCTACCCCTCCCAATTTAGTCTCATCTGCAAATATAAGAAGCATTCCCTCTATCCCTTCATCCAAATCATTTATAAAGATGTTGACCAAAACAGCTCCGCTTTGGTCACTGGATGTTTTGAGTGCTGCAAACGGACCGGTGCCAGTGCTGATCCCAGGGGCCTGATTTGCCCTACTGCAGGCTGGGCTCAGTCCTGACTAGGATGGACAGTGTCCCCCATCCCCCCTGCCCAGCAGCCCCCCCCCCCCCTTGAAGGGGGGCGCCAGACAGCAGGCATCCATTAGGTATCCTCCAGCTGTACCTTGTTGGGTTCATCGTTATCTTGGGGAGGGGAGAATGCTCCCTAGCCTGCAATATTGTTAATTGGAGAGCAGCGTTCCCCCCCCAAGCCCTGGGCTGCCCCCCCCCAGGCTACGGCTTCCTGCATTTCACCGACCTTCTTGTTCTTCTTTGGAGTCCTCTGAGCAGACGGTTCCATTTTACATTTTAAAAACGCCTTGCCAAGTTTAACCGCTGACCTTTTCTCCGGTCTCTTCAATTTATTAAAAGCCCATCTTTTCCTCATCCCAGGATCTCAACTGTACCACCCCAAGCATCAACACCCCCCACCCTCCCCTCCCCCGTGAAACCCGGCCCCTTTTTTTTCCCCCGCACATTCTCCTCCCTGGCCAAAGTGCTAAACTGTCCCCACGCCTGGAAATGTGCCCCCAAGGTGACTGCGGTCAAACTCCCGCTCCTGGCAGCAGTCAGGCTAAAGCGGAGAGCGGCCGTCCCTCTTGGCCAGACCACCAACGGCCTCCTCCGAAAGACGGGGCCGCAGTCCACCAGTCTGCCAGGAGGGACCACATATGGGGTTTCGGCTCGCAAGGCCAGCCTGTGGCACAGACACAGCTCCGGCACCCTCCCCCAGGAGAGCCCTCCCTTCGGTTTCAGCTGTGTGTGAAGCACACCAGGCAGTGAGCTCCCCGGCCTCAGAAGGTTCCCTTGAGCGGCCTGGCCTGGCCGGGGCGAATAAAAAAGCCCCCCCGCCCCCCAGTCTTGCAAGTCTCAGGAGGGATCGGGGGCCCCCAGCTCCATCTCCTTGTAGCTGGCCTCCTGCTTGAGTTTGGAGAGGCTTTCCAGGGGCAGCGGGAGGGGGGCGCAGGAGAGAAGCAGGGGGTGCATCTGGAGGAAGGAATTCATGTTCTCCCCCTCGTCCCCGTAGCAGGGCAGCCGGGGGCTCCCGGCATGCACCGCCTGGTGGGCCTTCAGCTCTTTCCTCTGGCCGAAGATGAGGCCGCACTCGGTGCAAGGGTACACCCTCTCCACCGTGTGGGTGAGGTGGTGCGTCCGGAGGTTGCCCTTGTACTTGAAGCTCTTGCCGCACTCCAGGCAGGCGAAGGGGCGCTCGCCGGTGTGGATGCGCCGGTGCTTCATCAGGGTGGTCTTCAGGTTGAAGGTCTTGCCGCACTCCCCGCAGACGAAGGGCCGCTCGCCGGTGTGGATGCGCTGGTGGGTGATGAGGGTGCCCTTCCGGTTGAAGGCCTTGCCGCACTCCAGGCAGGCGAAGGGCTTCTCCCCCGTGTGGATGCGCTGGTGCTTGATCAGCTCCCCGTTGTGGCTGAAGCACTTCCCGCAGTCGGCGCAGGCGAAGGGCCGCTCCCCGGTGTGGATGCGCTGGTGCCGCGTGAGGTCCCCGTTGCGGCTGAAGCTCTTGCCGCACTCGGAGCAGCCGAAGGGCCGGTCGCCCACGTGGATCTTCTGGTGCAGGATGAAGGTCTTCTTGGCGCAGAAGCCCTTGCCGCACTCCCCGCAGACGAAGGGCCGCTCCCCCCGGTGGATCTTCTGGTGGGTGATGAAGTTGGCCTTGCGGTTGAAGGCCTTGCCGCACTCCGGGCAGGCGAAGGGCTTCTCCCCCGTGTGGATGCGCTGGTGGAGGATGAAGGTCTGCTTGGAGCAGAAGCTCTTGCCGCAGACGTTGCACTCGAAGGGCTTCTCCCCCGTGTGGATGCGCAGGTGGCGCATCAGGTCCCCCTTCTGGCTGAAGCTCTTCCCGCACTCGGTGCAGGGGAATGGCTTCTCCCCCGTGTGCACCCGCAGGTGGGTGATCAGGTTCCCCCGGTGCTGGAACCGCTTGGCGCAGACACTGCAGGCAAAGGGCCTCTCCGCCGCGTGGCTCTTGGGCCGCCTGGCTGGCTCCGGGGCAATCCGGGTTGGTGGGCACAGCTTCCCCCTGGGAGTGGGGGACCCTCCGGGAACAGTCGGCCCACTGGAGCCCCGGAAGGAGGACGCTGCCGCCCTCTTCCCGTCCTCCGTTTGCTTATCTGCAGCTTCTGGTGAGCGCCGACTCGGCTCCACGTGGCCGTCTGCGGGAGGAAAAGAGGAGACACGGCAGGAGGGCCATGGTGACCCCGGGCCAGACAGGGGAGGCAGCCGGAGCCCAAAGGCTTGCTCCAGCAGCCCGTGAAACACCCTCCTGGCTAGCGCACATGGCCCCACCTCCTCTGTGGGCCTGGGTTCAGAACGACCTCTTTTTCAAATCATTTACAAAATACCAGAGCCCGCCCCCAGGAGAGGGGAAACGCTGTGTGCCAACGACACCTTTACAACTGGGTAAGCAAGTCAAATCTCAATTATTTCTACAGGCCTACATTCAAAGTCTTTCTTGGAAGGAAACCCAAAGCAGAAAAACAGACACATTATTACTGACCCTTCCCTCTGATTCCAGCCATCGGATACCCGTGACAGATCTTGGCCAGAGAGCCACGGAACAGAAAGTGGCCGTGCTCAAACAGACCACGGCTTCTGCCACCGTTCCCCAGCAGCCACCCAAGTGGATCTGTGGCCTCAGAGAACTGTGGGAAAACCAATCCCAAAATCCTCGGAGGAGGAGGAAGAAGAAGAAGAAGAAGAAGAGATTGGATTTATACCCCCCGCCCTTCACTACGCAAAGGTGTCTCAGAGTGGCTTACAATCTCCTTCCCTTCCTCTCCCCACAACAGACACCCCCTGTGTGGTCGGTGGGGCTGAGAGAGCTCTGACAGAACTGGCCTTGAGATAACTGGCCTCTGACAGGACTATGGCTTGCCCAAGGTCATCCAGCAGCTGCATGTGGAGGAGGAGTGGGGAATCAAACCTGGTCCTCCCAGATTAGAGTCCGCGCACTTAACCACTCCACCAAACTGGGGAGAAACAAACACTGGCTCATCTCCTGAGCCCTCCTTGGCCCAGCCGGAGGCCTTCTTAGCCTTCCCCAGCCAACGAGGCACTTCCTGCTGCCGAAGGAAGGACGCTCGGGCTACTCAGAAAACCTTTCAGGGAAGCCCCTTCCGGAGGCGGTCAAGAGACCCCAGCTCCCTCCCTCCCACGCACTTTTCCTCCTGGATGCTTCTGCTTTTCCTCTACAGCAACCCTGAACTCAGTACTCAGCTATGCCAGGAAGAGAGCTCACCCTCCAGAAGGATGCCGGGAGATCCTGTCTGGCCAGAGCGGCACCCAAGGCCTTCCTCCTCCTCCTCCTCTTCCGGCTCCATCTTCACAATCACGTCAGGCCTGATGTCCGCTGCACGAACAGGGGAGCAAATTGTCAGAGGCAGTCAGTGGAGCAGTCCAAGGTTGCGGGGGGGGAGGCTCAGATGGACCCCTGCTGCTTCACTAGCTCAAGAAGAGCCATGTGGGCAGGGCTATTTTGGGGCAGAAACGCACCAGAACGGCGTTCCGGCTGGCTTCCAAGTTGGCCACACCTACAGCCACAACCTCCCAGACGGGGAAGGGAAAGAAAGGCATCCTAAACATGTCTGGGTTCCCTGCCCGATCTTCTCTAAGTGTCCTGTGGCCGCGGGGCACTTAGAGAAAATCAGGTAGGGAACCCAGGCATGTCTGCCTTCCTGCCCTTCCCTTCGCTTCTCCAGCCAGCTCGCCGCAGCGGGTTGGCTGGGGAGGGGAAGGGGAAGCGGGCAGACATTTCCCCCCCTTTTCTCGTGAGCCGCGCCGCTTTTGCGGAGAAACTTGGGGGGGGGGGTTAAATGGAGTGCCCTAATATGGGGTGTGCCCTAATAGGTTAATGAGCTGCACTCCCAGCAGTGTGGCCTACTATGCTAATGAGTTTGTGCTGTTGGGTGTGGCCTATTATGCTAATGAGTTCCTGCTGGGCTTTTTCTACCAAAAAAGCCCTGCATGTGGGGAAGCTGCACCAAGCCCAGACGCCCCACTAAAGGCCGGCCCGACTCTGGCCTGGACAGATGCTGCTGGTGACTGAGGGTGGGGTGACCACAGCTCCCCCTTGAACCGTAGCCCTGCAGCTCAGGGCTGATGGGTCGCCTGCCCATGCTCATGGTCATCTTGGGGGTCACGATCCGGGGGGCTAGCCCACGTGGCCTCCCCCGGCACCCCCCTCACGTCTGTGTGGCTGGGTGGGAGGTCAGGATGCCGGAGGAAGTAACCAGAATGGACCGGGGGAGGGTGCGGAGGGGGCTGCGTCGGAGGCTCCCTCTCCAGACACCCCCACAACTCAGCCCGTTTGTGATGTCTGACACTGAGCCCCAAAGGCCGTGGGCAAAGCTCCAACGCTCTCTGGAAGCGCAAGAGGTGTGCCGGCAGAGGCTCACCACCACAGTTGCCGCGTGCCCCCTGAGTGGGCATCCTGAAGGCCCCCTTGCAGAGAGTGGGCGGGGGGGGAGGGGGCTGACTCACAGGCATCAGCGTCATCGCTGGATTCGCCCTCGCTGCCACCCCAGGGACGTTCCTCGTACGAATCATCCTCCGGCTCAGTCTTGATCGTCACCTCCTTCTTGATGTCTGAAACAGAACACAGCAGAAGTATTAACGTGACCCAGTAGACAAAAGCAAAAACGACATCTTGGGGCCTCCTTACAGCAACAGACAATTTGCACGATCTGCAGTGGTCTAGTCGACAACACATTCCTTATGCATTAAAATAGCTATGCGTCACCTTCTATAGAGCCAGGTGTTGCTTTTCTCAAACGCTTTACAGTTGCTAAAAGTTTGTATAATGGGCCATGGATAGTAACTGCACAAATTCTCCGAATTATTCTGGTAACGAATATCCAAAGTGTAAGGATGTGTGTCACGTCCATCAAAGTTAGTAGTCAAGTTGATACTGGATATTCATTACCATTATACATTCAGTTCTGGATGTGTGTTATTGTACAATAGGAATATTGACCACTGAGGAAGGCCCAAAGGGGCCGAAACGCGTATGGTCTATTGGTCAAAAGTTTTACCCATCAATTGGACATGTATAACTAGCAGCTCCGAATGTTATAAGCTCTAAGAGTCAGATATTTGGACTATTTCTTTTAACCTTATGTATGTTTTATTTATGTGTACACCACAATAAATATTTGTATTTTTACAACAATTTATTTGTTAGCTTGACCCTCTTAGATCACAGCTACATTTTGGGTTGAGCTCCCCCCCCCTTTTTCTCTCTCGGTTTTTGACATTCACACCATCCTGACTAACTCCCCCCTGCAAACTCTGTTTCCTCTCCTGAGACTGACTGTGCAGCCTCCCATTTTGGATTAAAGGGGGGGGGGACGATAACACACGGGCAACGGGAAGTATCAGGGAGGGGGCCGCAGAGGTAGTAACATGGGGGGGGAGGCAAGGAGTGCTGCTGGAGAGTAAGGCTCACACACACACACCCAGCCGATTTCTGGCCTTCTCCACAGGCTACAGGGACAGGACACTTGCTTCCTGAGGTAAACCTGAAAGTGTCGGTTCACAAGCGATGCTCTGGTGAGGACAGGCAGGCCCCGCCCAGCCCCGCCACAAGCTGAGGGAACCATGTGGGAGCGGTGGCACAGTGGGTATATCCCACTGTCTTAACATCTGAACTGTGTTAGTTCGAGCCCCGCGCTGGTGTGAGCAGCCAGCCTGTTGTCCCCAGCTCATCGTCCACCCGGCGATTCGAAAGCTTCAGCGAGTAGATAAAATGGGAACCACTCCTTAGAGAGCGTGGGCACGCCAATCTCCCTTGTGGGAGGGTGTTAGCTGATGGTCGGACGTCCTGGTCGAGGTTCAGAAAAGGTGAAACAGCTTCTCGGCTACAAAAGAACGCCTGCAATGGATGTTCCGGCCAGGCGGTGGCAGTGTGGCGATTGATATACAGGTCCTGAGGCCTGGCCAACAAGCAGCCGTGTGGGAAAATGACGGAGCCAGCCAGAAGACGTCTACACCGGGCAGTGACGGCGCGTGCAATTAAAGTGAATATATGTTGTCTTCCCTATCCCCTACGAACATTGTTAGTCCCTTGTCTATATATGGACGATTAATAAATAAATGCAAAGAAAGGCGGCCAAAGGCAGGGTGTGGCAGACAGTGACCTGCCTGAAAGGTGGCGGTGGGTGGGTGCATTTGGGGCCTGGCGCACTCTGACCCCCACCCCCCAGGAATGAGCTAGGCTGCTCTCGGCAGCGGACACCAGGCCCCCCATAGCTCCCCACCCCGGGAAGGGCCAAAGCGGTCCTGACGGAAGGGGCCGCCCTCCTTCTCCTCACCCCTAAGTGACATTCGACTACCACCCTGCGGCCCTCGCTGCCGCTGAGCCCGAATGGGCACCGATCCTGGCCACGAAGGAAGGGTGCAGAGAGCCTCTCCCAGGTACACAGCCCAGCGTCCTCCCTGGAGCCCCCCCCCCGGGCACTCTGCCTCGGTGTGCCAGGCAAGTCCACGTGAGGCACAAGCGCAGCTCACCAGTCACGGGGTGAAGCAGGGTCTCCCCCTCCAGCTCCGCCGGGCCCCGTGGGCGCCCAATGGACACTTCTTCCTCTGGCTCCGCCTTCACGGCAACCTCTAGGGCGGCCCAGCCTGTGGGGCAAGGAGGAGGAAGTGACAAGCGGCAGGATCCGTCAGGCACCGTTCACCCGCCACACGTTTCCTGGCCCCAGCCACGTCACATCCAGGGTTCCCTCTCAGCTGAGTCAGTGTGAGCTAGGTCAGAGTTCTTTAGCCTCCGGCTCACACATTTTTGTCTCGGCTCAGGAAGGACGGCTCCAGAGCAAGCTAATTTATGCAGCAGCCAAATCGCTCACTCACAACTTTAGTGCCAGCAGCTCACAAAGTAGAAGAGAAGAAGAGGAGATTGGATTTATACACCACCCTTCACTACCCAAGGGAGTCCCAGAGTGGCTTATGAACTCTTTTCCCTTCCCCTCCCTGCAACAGACACCCTCGGAGGTAGGTGGGGCTGAGAGAGCTCTGACAGAACCTGCTCATTTTTCAAGAACAGCTCTTATCAGAACTACGGCTTGCCCAAGGTCACCCAGCCAGGTGCAAATGGAGGAGTGGGGAATCAAACCCAGTTCTCCCAGATTAGAGCCCGCGCACTTAACCACGACACCAAACTGGTGTGAGAATTTTTGCTCACAAGACTCCACAGCTTAGAGGGAGCATTGGTCACTCACACCCTCAGACTGTGGGATGAAAACCCCAGCTGAACGGGGCATTCACTAGGGCCTTGTGTGCCAGTCTGGCCGCTAGCTCAGCCCCCCCTCTACAGCAGAGAGGCCATGCGCTGCTGCATTTGAAAGCGCCGCCCCAGCATGCCCACGGCATGTGAGGGAGCAGCGGAAGCACACTGCGCATACCCATCCCTCCGCCGCTGAGCGAGAGCGTCCACAGGGGGCAACAAAGCGCCTTCACCTGCAAGGACCCCCCCCCGGCAGCTCAAGGGAAAAGGCTGTGCGGTTTTTGCCGGGCGGGGAGGATTTCATTTTGCACATAGGACTAGCAGAACAGGGAGACTGTGGCACTGCCTGACTGCCAGGGCATCCCCTGCGGAGGGTGGGGCGGGGCTGGGGGCTGACCTGCCACTGTGCCGAAGGCTCCCCCTGGACAAGGAAGTGGCTCAGCCACCCCCCCCCCTTTGCTCACACCCTGTACATTGTGAAGAGAGTTGCAGGGTGGGGCAAAAATGAGACCACCGCCTCCACCCCCCACCCCCCGCGACACTGCCAGTCAGCCAGCTGGGAAGGAAGACGGTGCCGTTCTTTCCCCTGGAGAAAGAAGAGGCGTCCCCCTTCCCTTCCAGCCCACGGCAGACAGGGGCCCCACCCAGAGAAGGGGAGCTGCACTGCATTCTGGGGAACGGGGAGGGCAAGGCCTCTCTCGACTGGCCCTCCCCCCTTCACTGAGACCCACAGCCAACCATCTAGGTTCGAGTCCAGCAGCTCCCTGGAGCCTGAGGACAAGGCCTTCCGGGCGTGAAGCTCCCAGAGTCAACACTCTCTTCCTCGGAGCACCGGGCACCAGGGGCACGGCAGAGAGGGGATGAGAGAATCCGTGCCCTCGGATCCTTTCCGGCTGCTTCCCTTCCCACCTCTGGTGGGGCCGATGTGTGGCCCAGGCAAGGCTCCCTCTGAGCTGTGGAGTCTTGTGAGCCAAAATTCTCCTTTGTGAACTCCTGGCATTAAAGCTGTTAATTTGGCTGCTGCATCACTCAGCTTGCTAGTCTGGAGCCCTCCTTCCTGAGCTGAGACAAAACTGTGTGAGCCGGAGGCTAAGAAACTGTGAGCTGGCTCACACGAACCCTGCTTAGAGGGAACACTGATCAGGAGCAAGGCTCCCTCTGAGCTGTGGAGTCTTGTGAGCCAAAGTTCTCCTTTGTGGGCTGCTGGCCTTAAAGTTGTGAGTGGGCGACTGGGCTGCTGCATCAATCAGTTGGCTCCGGAGCCATCCCTTCCTGAGCGAAGACAAAAATGAGTGAGCCAGAGGCTAAGAAACTGTGAGCTGGCTCACACGAACCCTGCTTAGAGGGAACACTGATCAGGACTGGGTTAACATCACTCCGTTCACTTGGAAGACAGACCAACCCCCCTCCCCCCCCCAGCGTCCGTCACATGACCCTCTGCTTCCAGCCCATCTCACCGGAGCCCCCAGATCCCAGGATGACCCCAAAGCAGTGGCTCTCCGGCGACCCACCCCTCTGCAGGGAGCCCACCACCCACCTGGGCGGGAGGCGTCGGGAGTCCTGTCCTCCATCTCCTCCGGAGAGTCCTGGCCACGGGGCCCTTCCGCACCCTCCTCTCTGACCGGCCCCTGGGGCTTCATGTCAGCGGCACCCCCTGTCCAGGGAAGAACGCATCGAATGAGAGACCCCCTCACCTGCGGCTCTGCAACCCCAGCGGCCCGGCTCTGGACCTCCCCTCGGGGCCCACAACACCAGAATGGAGCCCACCGGTCCAACACAGACTTGGTGCCAGTCAGCAGCTCAGCCCCGGAATTCGGGGAGCGCATCCCCGGGAACCAGGCGGCCATCCGGACAGCCACATTCCCACACCCGCCGGCGCTCTTCCCTTGCTTTGCTTCCCCTCGTCTCTATAGGGGGGTGGACGCAGGAAGCCTCACCTGGGTGGGGGAGGGGGACGGGGAGCCTGCGCATCCCTGAACCACTGCGGGAGAGGGGAACGGGAGAGGGGAACGAAGAAACAAAGCCAGAACATAGTTCTGTGACTGGGGCGTCCTCCTGAGAGCATTTTGATTAAGTTGGAGGACAGGGGAACGCCCAGCCACATGATCAGGTGGGAGCAGGGGAGATGGGTAGCCTGCCACGTGGGGTCTCCATGGGAGCCACACAGCCTTGTAAGCAGTGGAGCGAAACCACAGCACCGAGACATCCCAACTGTCTATGTGGAGACCTTCGGGAAGGAGGAGGAGGAGGCAGAAGAAGAAGAGGAAGAAGAGGAGGAGGAGATTGGATTTATACCCTGCCCTTCACTTGGAGTCTCAGAGCAGCTTACAAACTCCTTTCCCTCCCCCTCCCCACAACAGACACCCTGGGAGGTAGGCGGGGCTGAGAGAGCTCTTGACAGAAATTGCTCTTTTTCAAGAACAGCTCTTATCAGAACTACGGCTTGCCCAAGGTCATCCAGTGGGGGAATCAAACCTGGTTCTCCCAGATTAGAGTCCGCGCACTGAACCACTACACCAAACTGGCTCCAGAAGCCTTTAGCAGCAGGGACATCAGTCACCGGAGGGAAGTTACTCATCCTGATGAAGTGGCGGGGGGGAGGTTTTGAAAAGGAAGAAAGTTTTTTCTGAACTCCTGAATCAGATCAGATCACTGAACAAATGGACCATTTGTTTATATGTTGTCGAAGGCTTTCACAGCCGGAGTTCATTAGTTGCTGTAGAGTTCCTGGGCTGTATGGCCGTGGTCTTGGCATTGTAGGACCTGACGTTTTGCCAGCAGTTGTGACTGGCATCCTCAGAGGTATAACACAGAATGATGGAGTACTCTCTGTGTCAAGGTTTATACTTTTATACATTTGTTTATACTTTCCAGTTTGGTGTAGTGGTTAAGTGTGCGGACTCTAATCTGGGAGAACCGGGTTTGATTCCCCACTTCTCCTCCACTTGCAGCTGCTGGATGACCTTGGGCAAGCCGTAGTTCTGACAAGAGCTGTTCTTGAAAAAGAGCAGTTTCTGTCAAGAGCTCTCTCAGCCCCACCCACCTCACAGAGTGTCTGTTGTGGGGAGGGGAAGGGAAAGGAGTTTGTAAGCCGCTCTGAGACTCCAAGTGAAGGGTGGGGTAGAAATCCAATCTCTTTTTCTTCTTCTATATTCCTTTTTGTGATGCATTTTTAAGACAAGTCATGTTGGTTGTGATTAATTCTGTTTTTTAGGAAATGAAACCGAAAATATGAAGTGGTCACAGACTGGGCATCCCTATTTGGCAAGCAAGGCAGCCTCCCGCCCCATGCAGGGAGAGGGTGCTGAGTGAGGAGGGGCATATGGTCAGGATCCGGGGCCCTGAGAGGCGGCGGTGAGTGGCAGAAGCGGCATTCACCCCCCACTCCCTACCAGGGTGGTTTGTGTGTGGCTTCCACTCAAGCAAAGAGACGTCTCGTTATCATGTGGCTGTTTTCTGGCAACACCTCCTCCTCACAGGGAGTCTTTCAGACTACCCTACCTGGAGATGCTAAGGAGCAAACCTGGAACCTTCAACTTCCAAAGCAGGTGAGCCACAGTCCTCCTCGCCACTCACCTGTGACATGTGTTGCCGCTTCATGTCCCGCGTCCCGAACATTTCCCCTGCATCTCCTGGAACGCTCTTTCCCAGTGGCACCTCGCGCCCTGATCCACTCCCAGTGGCACTTCTGGGGTCAGGTGGACAGGCACCGACCATGCTGCAGGGAGGGGGGGGGAAAGGAACAGTCCTCGTCCCAGTTAATGTTTGTCATGGCTTTTAAAAATTAATTTATTATTATTTATTTAAATTTATAACCCGCCCTCCCCGCGAACGGGCTCAGGGCGGCATACAGATGGGGCCAATGCCCAATACATAAAACATTAAAACTGCATTTTAAAAACATTCAATATAACATAGGTGCTCTCCACAATAACTAATAAGGGAACAGATGATGTCATCAGGATGGTATCCTTAGTGGCCACAGCTCCACGCAGTACCACCATTTTAGCGCTCACGGTGAGTTGGTAATAAAGGGCTAGGACAGATCGTAATAGTCGTAGACAGATGGTAACAGTCGTGGCAGCTCCTACTCAAAGGCCGGGCGGAAGAGCTCCGTCTTGCGTGGAACTGTGCAAGGTCTGTGCAAAAGCAAAAGTTTGCTTTTGTAGTATGCATGGGAATATAATGATTTTTCTTTTCAGATTATTCATATTTCTCTGGTTTTATAGATTGTTTTCATAAGTAAGATTTTATTAGGATGTAATGAAGGCCTATTAAATAGTAGGCCTTTCCCTTGTAGGTTAGAGTATCTTTCTAGCTGATGCTAGCAGACAAGAAAACTACATTCTTTTGGTATAGAAGACAGGTATAGAGTTCATAGAGTATTTTTAGTATGTTTAGGGCAAAACATGGCAGTGTCTGGGTCAAAAGGGATTTTATCTTCGTATCAGGGAAAAAACACTTTTTTGTTTGGGTATGAAGAATCCTTGGCCAATGTTATTCAGGTTAGGTTACGTAAACATTTTAAGATATGTAGGCAAACCTTTCTTCATATTTGACCCATGAGCGGACTATTACTCCAATGATGCACTGTCCTTCATGACCAATTATGATCTTTGAATGTTATCTTTTTGATTATGTCACTCCAGGTATAAAATTTCATGTATTTCCTGATTGTGAGCAGAAAGCAGTCAATTTTTGATAGGCTAAGTTTGACCTAACGGTTTTCAGTTGTTTTAACTGCAATTAAAATCAATGAACATTCCTCCTCATTTTGACTTCTCTTTTTGACTGGAGATCTACTTGTATGACACTTTAGATAAACGGATAAAGCAGGCAGAGAACTGCTGAGATGAAGATCCAAAGGCAGGCATGGCTGGGAGGGTGTGGCCCCTACTTGGGGCGACACCGGGCAAGGCACCAGATGACCCGTGAGCGTCCGAGGACTCACCAGGTGAAGCATGTCGGGCAGAAGAGCTGCTTGCCGTGCGGCCCCTGTGCCAGTTCCCGACCCTCCAGGCAGACGTAGCACGCAACAGCCTCCCGTGTAACATTGGCCCTCACTCAGGGCTCACCAAGGACCAGGAGAGCACCACCAAACGGTGGGATTTCAGGCCTGCAAGGAGGGGAAAGAAGAAGTCGTAAAAGCACCGCGCCCCTTTGCAGAGAGAGAGAGAGAGAGAGAACATCACAGCTGCCCACGCAGGAGAGTAATTTAGCCAGAAAGGCAGACTCCTGCCTTACACTTGGGATCCTGATGGGCCACTTTTACTGAAGCTGCGGAGAAGCACAGTCCAGCTTGGGGCACCTTCCATCTATTTCCTACAGCTGCTTTCTTCACTTGACCTTGCAATTAAGTTAAGTGCGCCGACTCTACTCTGGGAGATGCCTTCGGCAGCGAGGCAGAGCCGGGGGCCCCCCAGCCGCCCCGCCAGGAGGAGAGGCCCTTCGTCTGCCCCACCTGCGGGGAGAGCTTCAGCTGGAGGGAAAGCCTGCAGGTGCACCAGAGGACTCACGCGCCGGACAGGGGCCACGCCTGCCCCGTCTGCGGGAAGACCTTCAGCCGCCACGGGAACCTCCTCATCCACCAGCGGCTGCACACGGGGGAGCTCCCCTTCTCCTGCCCCGACTGCGACCGCAGCTTCCCCAGCAGGGCCAGCCTCGTGGTGCACAGCCGCTTCCACCAGCGAGGCAGGCCCTTCCCCTGCCCGCAGTGCGGCCGCACCTTCGGATCCAAGGACAAGCTCGTGGCACACCAAGCGGCCCACGGCAAGGAGGAGCGGCCGATCAAGCAGGAGGCGGAGCCGTAGCCCCTCTGCCAGGGAGGGCCCGGCCGCGGGACAGCTCCCTTGACGGAACTTTTGCCCTTCGGTCAGTACTATGCATACCTCAGACCAACTCTCCTTCTGAGTCTCTCCACTGGAGCTTTGCATTGGGTGCCTTTGTGGGTGGGTGCGTGCGCCCCTCTGTGTCTCTGCCGCTGTGCTTGGGTGTTGCTGGGGAACTTGTGTGGTGTGTGTGAGAGTGTGGGCCACTGGTGGTGACTTGGGTTCAAATCCTGCTAAGCCATGAACCACCCTAGACTGTTTGTTCTCTCCCAATCTAATTTCCTCCGCAGGAAAGGGGCAAGGATAACGCAGCACAACCCCTTAGCCCTGGCCCCGTTCCTAGGAGTTCAGGGCAGTTTGAACTGCGGCTGGTATCCCAAATGCTGCTGCACCGCAGAGCTGCACCCAAACGCAGAGCCAGTTCGGTGTCGTGGTTAAATGCGCGGACTCTAATTTGGGAGAACAGCTTTGATTCCCCCACGCCTCCACTCGCAGCTGCTGGATGACCTTGGGCAAGCCGTAGTTCTGATAAGAGCTGTTCTTGAAGAAGAGCAGTTTCTGTCAAGAGCTCTCTCAGCCCCGCCTACCTCACAGGGTGTCTGTTGTGGGGAGGGGAAAGGAAAGGAGTTTGTAAGCCGCTCCGAGACACCTTCGGGTAGTGAAGGGCGGCGGGGTGTGTGTGTTAAATCCAATCTCTTCTTCCTCGACACGGGGCCACTGCAGGTTTAAATCCAATCTCTTCTTCTTCTTCGACACGGGGCCACTGCTGGACTGGCCATTTAATTCTCAGTCCCTTTCTGAATGCCCAGCATAGGAGGTCGGCCTTCTTCAGCCGCTCTGAGACTCCAAGTGAAGGGCGGGGTAGAAATCCAATCTCTCCTTCTTCTTCTTCTTCTCAGCAGGTGATCAAGCCGGTCCCTGTTGGAATTGCCTCGTCTTCTGTGAGACAGGAGACAAAACCAGAGCAATCCCAGAAATACCAGGGCCTTTCATGCTCCAGACAGAGCCTGGACGACTCCCGGTTCCGCACTGCCTCACACTGGTTCGAGGCTCTGGGCTAGGCCGAGGCCTCTCACAGAACAGCCACCGAGAACAGCAGGCGAAACAGCAACGGCCAGGCCTGGTGGCCACGACTGTGCTTTTAAGACGGGCCTTCGTTATTTCTCCGATTTTACATTCTACACCCCCCACACACACCGCCAGACAGGCTTGTTGAATAAAACCCCCGTGGTTACATCAAAGGGGAAGGGCTTAATTTCGGAAGGGAATCCCCCCCCAGCTAGGACGCTTCACTATATTCTGTTCACTTCTACACAGAGGAAGGAGTCCAAATGGATGCTGGGTGGGGAAGGGGCTCTGTCTTCTTGGTGTTTTTGGGGGGGGTTCAACAGTGGGAGGGCTCCTAGTGTCCTGGCCCCACTGGTGGACCTCCTGATGGCACCTGGTATTTCTGGCCACTGTGTGACACAGAGTGTTGGACTGGATGGGCCTTTGGCCTGATCCAACATTGGCGTCTCTGTTCTTATATAACACCGCCAGGGGTTTCTCAAACAGCTGTGTGGTCCCCACTGATGACGCCTCCAGACACTCACAAACCCCGAAACGGATCTCATCAGACCCAACAAGGAGCAGTTTAAGTGTCACCAAGCATGTGACTTTGAAACATGGAGGTCCACCTCATCTACGGGGGAAGGGAAAAAACCAGCTCCTCGTTGCCCCCCCCGGCCCCTCCATCCACTTGCTCACCCCATCCGCTGGCATGCCTTTCAAACAGACGGGTCGCGTGGATATATGCGTGAAGGTGCCTTATACTGAACCAGCCCTGTACATCAAGGTCCCTACGGTCTACTCTTCCTGGCAGGGGCTCTCCAGGGTCACAGGTGGAGAAAGGTCTTTCCTACCACCGAGGGCTTCATGTTTTAACAGGTGCCACCAGGGATCACTGCAGACGGTGACAGCAGCCATGAAATTAAAAGACGCCTGCTCCTTGGGAGGAAAGCGATGGCAAACCTAGACAGCATCATAAAAAGTAGAGACATCACCCTGCCAACAAAAGTCCGTATGGTCAAAGAAATGGTATTCCCAGTAGTCATGTATGGCTGCGAGAGTTGGACCATAAGGAAGACTGAGCGCTGAAGAATAGATTCTTTTGAACTATGGTGCTGGAGAAGACTCTTGAGAATCCCCTGGACTGCAAGGAGATCAAATCAGTCAATCCTAAAAGAAATCCACCCCGACTGTTCCCTGGAAGGCCAGATAATGAAACTGAAGCTCAAATACTTTCGCCACCCAATGAGCAGGGAGCACTCACTGGAGAAGAAGGCCCCGATGCTGGGAAAGATTGAAGGTCAAAGAAGAAGAAGGGGACGGTAAAGGACGAGATGGTCAGACAGTGTCATAGATGCAATGAACATGAAGTTGAGCAAACTTCGGAGCACGATGGAAGACAGGAGGGCCTGGCGTGATCTGGTCCATGGGGTCGCAAAGAGTCGGACTCGACTGTGCAACTGAACAACCACCACCACCACCAGGGATTGAACTTGGGACCTTGTGCACACAGAGCTGATGCCCAACCATTCTGCTGCGGCTCCTCCAACTCTGTCTGTCCCATGGGCTGAGAATGCAATAAAAGCCACCCGGTCAAGCTCAGGAAGGCCTGAGTTCCCCTGGCCAGCAGTCAGCGCCGGCACTACCCTCTGCCTTCCCAGCCAGGGTTCCCTCTAAGCTGAGTGAGTGTGAGCTAGCTTACAGTTTCTTAGCCTCCAGCTCACACATTTTTGTCTTGGCTCCAGAGCAAACTGATTGATGCAGCAGCAAAATGGCTCGCTCACAACTTTAATGCCAGGAGCTCCCAAAGTGGGATTTCTGCTCACGAGACTCCACCGCTCAGAGGGAGCCTTCCTTCCTTCCTTCCTTCCTTCCTTCCTTCCTTCCTTCCTCCCTCCCTCCCTGTGTTCCCTCTAAGCTGAGTGAGTGTGAGCTGGCTCCCAGTGTTTTAGCCTCCGGCTCACACATTTTTTGTCTTAGCTCGGGAAGGAGGGCTCCGGAGCAAACTAATTTCTGCAGCAGCCAAATGGCTCGCTCACAACTTGAAGGCCAGGAGCTCACAAAAGTAGGATTTCTGCTCAGGAGACTCCACGGCATAGAGGGAGCACTGGACCAGGGCAAAGCACCTCTGTTCGTCTCTGGCCGTGACAAGCCCAGGTAACGACCTGGGATCCCAGCCACCGTGCAGGATCCTCAGTCTGGGCCTCGAATACTGACCCTGGTTCCAGAGGGCAGCCGTGCCTTGTTGTCGGGCTGCAGTGGAAGAGCTGGGTTCGAGTGCAGGAGCACCTGAAGAGGCCAACGAGGCGGGGGGGGTGCCTCCCTCCCTGGGAAGGACTCTCAGAAGCTCCCCGCCGCCGGCTCTCCGGCCTCCGTGCTCTCTGCGAGCCCTTCCGCAAGGTCAGCCCTTCCTGGGGAGGGCCGAGC